TATAAAGGACAATAATGTCATTCAGACTTAATAATCTAATCATCCATAAGTGTAATCGAGTTTTTACTCATTTGATACATTAAGAACCAATTTAGAAATAGTAACATATTCTAAATTAAAAAGTTAAGTTGTCATGTGAATATAGTACTTGCTTAGTAGAAGATGAATAAGACATCTTTCGAGAGATAATCGATCAGATAAAGTTATCAATAAGCATTATTTCAAATGATAGAAGAGGGTTGAGAATTAGAAACTTGTTGCCGTTTGTTTGAACTTTCAAGATTAAAATATCACAATAATAAATAAAATACGAACCAGATAAAGCAACCATGTCCTTAGAAGAAAGGCCAAGAGAATTGAATCTTGAAATGAGGTTATTGAGGTTAGAAGTCGGAGGAGGAATGCCGTTATTGGCGGCAGACTTGCTTGTTGTCTTAGCATCTCTTCTTCCGAGCTTGACATTCCAGTTTGGCCCTCCAAGCTAAAAATTATATCACATAAGAAATTACGTGATTTAATGATGAGTAATGCTATTAAGAGAGCTCTATCATAAATACAATAATTGATGTAGCACTTGGATTTCGAGGGAACTTACTATAACAACAGAGTCTCGAGAAGCAATGGCTAATAAATCAGCACATGAGACTACACCGGGACACGCCTTTTCAACAGCGGATTTTATATTATCAACGACATCAAATCCCCTGGCGGAGTTCAAATTCGGAACTGCCGTCTTCTCTCCGGTGAAGGAAGATGTGTCGTCGAGGAGGATGGATCCATCGCATCCCTGACAAAGTCAAGAAGAAGCAGATAAGGTTTAGATACATAACTCTAGCTAGCCATGGAAAACAGAACATGAATGTATTAGTAATTGGACCTCATAAAAATTAAGAATCAGTTAGTCCTTTTCTCTCTGTTTTTTGGTCAATAATTTTAGACCTATCTGTGTTATAATCTTGACGCTTCCCAAACCTTTGGGCCAAGTTCAGGTCCATCAATTTTATATTGGGTATTATTGGGCATTTTCAAGTTTCCAACTGCCCAATATTGTTCAGCAAGATGACCCCTTCAAATAATGATAGTGACTCCATTGCTTACTCTGAATAGGAAAAAGATAATGAACAACTGTGACTAACGGTGGCAAAGCAAATAAGCTCAGCGTCTTACTTACAAATAAATAGTCAGGAATTAAAATTCACTTAGGAAATTTTTTTGGGTAATTGTATGGTGTATGTGAGATACGGGACTATAAGTATTCAGTAATGGATTATGAAATACTCTAAGAAGTTCGAGACACACAAAAATAATAATAACAAAAACAATAAAAAGGAGAATTCCTTCTCTTTGTTTTTTTTTTTTTTTTAAAAAAGAAAGAGTATATATATATATATATATATATATATATATTCTTTTAACAAGACTAATTTACTCTGAACACTAGTGACATTTCAATCCGAGTGGGGCTAAACTTGTGAGAGTGACCCCACATAAACTCTTTGACCTAATGATCTCACCCTTGAGGAAAGAAAATGGAATTTAAGACGACTATCGTGGCATAACACATTTAGGTAAGTTAAGGGCTAATCCCACGGCACGAGACTCCAGTCATTGCATAACCTAAAAAGGGTCAGGTGACATTTAGGTAAATTATAAAACTAAAAATGTTAGTAGCTAGCAAGTGTGAGAACAAGTAAAATTACATTAACAAAACAGTCGTGGAAGAATAAGCGAAGAAGAGAAGCCCCCATCCTAGCTTCTTTTGAAATTGCAGATTGCACTGCAGATTTGACTGTGGTAAAAAGATTTGGACAAGAATTGGAGTAAAAATTTGTTGAGAGTTGAGCTGAAGAGCTCCCAATAAAGAGCACAAGAAAAGCCAGAGTCACAATGGCCATGAAAGAAGGAGAAGAAGAAAATGAAGCCATTGTTGTATTACAATTCAAACAATAGCTAGAGAGAAAGCTAGAGAGATCAATGTGTGATGTATGTGTTGTGAACATAGTGTAACAAGTAATAGTATATATAGAGTTTTTCTAGAGTGCAATCTCTCAAGGTATTGGCTTTGGGCAGGTTACCTAACTCAATGACTCAATTTGCATGGCATTTCTACGTTGAAAGCGGGAAAAAGCTATAAGTAATAAGTGATTGACTGATTAATTTAATTGATGTAGTGTGAAGTGATAAAAATTTAAAAAAATAAATAATAAATAAAATAAAGGTTGTTACGAGTATGTTCTTTTAGAAAAGATATGCCACCAACATTTAGTTTTATGTTTTGTCAAAAAGGGCCCCAATAAACCAACTTAATCTATGATTTGGTGATGACTCGAGGGATAATACCAATAAAGGCAGTTAAAAATGGGATTTTTTTCGACTTTATACATAAGTGTTAATATTTGACTTTTCTATTGAAACCGTCTTTGGCTACTAAAAATATGCAATTTTTATTTAAAGTAGGACCTAAGTTATTATTAAAAGAAAAGCACTACATGTCAATATATTATATATATATAGCTATCATTTTTTCAACGTGGACATTATTTACATAATTACATTAAGTGGTTGCCGTCTACACTATACACGCCAATTATGGAAGAAATTAAAAAAAAAAAAAAGTAGCAGATGAAATTAACTCTAATTATTTTTTCATAAGTTAACTCTAATTACTTTTTCGTAAGTTAACTCTAATTATTTGATTACATGAATTTTAATATTTGGGAATGATAATATTGAAATTCATTTTCTCAATGCTAATACATTTTCTAAGTGGTTTCTTAAGAAAAAGAAATAATCATCGACTCAATCATCAAGAATATGTGCAATCACTTATAAACTACACGTATTATTTAAATATAAGTATTTTTTTTTTACATCATATGAGAATCCAATCTAAAAAGTCTAATTTTAAAGTCGTCTAGTTTTAAAGTTCGCACTGAAAAATAACCCCACTCCAATTGTCGGCCACTCTGTTTCATCATGAGTTGTTATTTTAGGTAACGAAAGTATTTAGCTTTGCCTCGACTAAATTCTCATTACATCGTGCAAAACATTCCTTTTATGCTTATCAAGTAAAGTTTAAATTTTTATTTAGGGACGTAATTTTATTAAATTATTTCCACTTCAAAGAAGTTAAATCTTACATTTATACTTCACAAAACTGAAATGACTTACCACCAAAGTCCTATTCGTGGGGTTGAAATTTTTTGACAGATGAAAATCAAACCCAGGCCCTTGTGCTCTAAGGAAGGTACACTCTACCCCTTGAGAATATCAGATAATGTGGACCCCTCCATTCAGTCAGGCGCAAAAATAATTAAATAGTGTGTCATTTCTTTATTTTGAAATAAATGGTGCAAAAATGATCACGTCACTCATATTTAAAATGCACAATACCAAAATATTGAGATATATTTTTACTCACAAAAATAAAATAAATGAACTATTGTGCAAATGGAGAGGATAGTGGAGTCCATATATAGTCAATACCAATTTTGTCTAAAAGGTCCGCCTTTGCGGCAATCTGTTTTTTTTTGCGTCTCCTTCACCATCATTTTCATTATTTATTTTCTACAATCATATGCTAAATAAATGGTTAGAAATAAGGTGATTGATTAGTAGTCGCATTCATCAAATCAAACAATTAACATATATGGTCTTAAAGGGACTTCTTAACTAATCGGGTCCCAATTGTGTTCCTCACTCGAATTTGGTCGACTGTGAATGTTATTAATCACTTGTTTCAAACCCTGCTTATTGCTATAATGTTTTTCAATTTTAAAAATTAAAAATAATTTTTCAAGAAAAAAGTTCTCAAAGATAAAAACTTCTGGGATAGTGTAATGACAAAACTTCCACCTCACATTTTGTGGCGGGGAGTTTAAATTAAAATTCTCTGATAATTATTTAGTGCATGTAAAATGAAGAGACTGTATGTACACACTAGTGGATTATAAAATGTTGTGAGACACTTAACACTACCATTATTATAAAAATAAAAATAAAAATAAAGAGTACATCTGACTTTTAATTACTTTTATATATATATATATATATATATATATATAAAGAATGAAAGAAAGAAAAAGAAGAAGATAAAAATTAATTTAAAAATAACCGAAAACAACAAAATATCATGGTTGAAAATATGAGGAATGCAACTATGCAAGAAGATAGAGCCTTTGCTAGTTGAAACCCAAACCATTGAAGACTGTTGTGAGATTGTGGGCCACATGAAGGGATTCCGTTTCCAGAAGGGGGAGGAAGTTTGGTGAATAAGACGATAAATTTCGTACATATTTGGTGAACTACGTGGAAATTTTGTGCCAATATGACTTTTTAATGTCATTATCTCTTTAATGATTTTGAACATTTTAGCATTTAAGTATATTTTTGACTTAATAAAATTAGAGTTTAAAATTATAAATAATAACAATAATAATATAGTTTAATTGTTTGTAACTTTGAACTAAACTATTTTTTAATTTTAAAACTTTAATTCTATATAACCGGGAAATTTCAATTTCATGTAACCAAACATGACGTTAATAAACTTGGGAGACAACCAAAGTGAGACATTATCCTTCACTGGGTAAGTTTTCTCTACGGGAAGAAAAGTAATGGACGCTCTTGGAACTTGAGAAACTGTAAGATTTCTAACCAGTGAGTCAATTTTGAAGTGCTTTGCATCAAATGGAACACAAACAAATTTTCATTTCACTGTCAAGAAAATGACCGTAAAGTCAAATTACCCATGTTTATTAAATTTTTTGTGGACCAAAAGCTTAACATATACGTCCATTTCATTGTTTAGGCGCAACTGATTGGATAGCTGGTGCAATCTCTAACCCTAAATTCTTGTTTTTCTTACTCAATTTTCGACTTTTCTCTCAATTAATACTTTGATTGCTCTGTTTCAACTAGCTTGGACTTCTCGCAATATACACATATATATATTGTGTGTCTGTGTGTCATCCACTGAACAAGTTCAAACACTGGTAGCAGAACAAAAGCTATTTACTTCATAAAAAAACCAACATAAAAATATAAAGAAAGAATACAAGATAAATGAAGTCAACATTATGATCTCCACAGCAGACCAATGCTCTGCTTTCTTTGGGACAGACCCAATGCTATTATGTGTACTTTGGGGAATATTAGACCAATGTACAGTAGATTTTCAAAAGGATTGCCAAGGGCTTGCATCAACCTAATTGGTGTCAGTAACTAATAGTACCAGAATTTAGTAAAGTAAAAACAATTGTAACTATACGAAAAAGGTCAATGGGTCAGGGAGCCCCTACACATCTCAAGTGTAAAAGCTCTACTGATTCTACTCGATATCAGATACCTCCTCCTCTGCCAGTTCAAACTCATCAACTTCCTTAAAGTAGGCTCTCTGCTGCTCAACAAAATCTCGTGGCAAGGCTACCGGTTTTGAGACATTTTCCTCTGGCAGTAAGTGACGTCTCTTCTGCAAAAGCATTGCAAGAAAATTATAAACCAACTAAAGGATGATGGTACAAGACAATATCGGGTAAGCAGAACAGATGCGAGAGCATAGAGGAAGCATATGGGGGATTATGCAAGGTAAATAGCAAAATACATTGCCCATACAGTAAGAAAATTTGTGCCATGTTAAGTCGTTTTTGGCTTTACAAGATTAGAACTTCTCACAGATAATGAATTATAGGGACTGATAGAAAGCCCACCTTATTTTCAATAACTGTTACACCCAAGTAGGCTTGAGATGGTTTGTGGACACATGCCAGAGACCTATAGATGCATTGGTGAGAACACGATGTTTAATTTCCATAAAAGCTAATAGATGGAGAGGGTGACCAAAAATAACGTGGGATGAAGTTATTAGGAATGACTTAAAAAAGTTAAACATAGTAGGTGATATGGTGGGTAATAGAAAGTAATCGAGACACAGAATTCATGAGGCCGGCCCCATTCATATGGGAATAAGGCAAGGATGATGATGTTTCCAGACAAATCTTTTCTGAATTGCTAGTTTGTTCCATGCAATAATATACAGTGTTGGTTTCTAGATGCTCTTGATCAGCAGGGTTTTTTAACGAGAGCAAGGGAACAGTAAGAGTATAATCCCACAGACTCGGCCTAAAATCAAAGAAGCAAGCCACCGTGCCACAGAAATCACTCAGTAGCAAACCAGATATGAATAGAAGATCAAATTAGTCAAGAAATCACACATGATACTTCCATAACAGAACTTTAAGAGTAAGAAACAAAGATATAACAATTATAAGGCTCAAAGTCAGAAAATGAAAAAATTATTTTGGAAACAAAAACATACGAGAACTGAGAAATGCTTAAACAAACCTTTTGACACTTCGGAAGAGGAAATGAACACGATTTGGAGAGACCAACATCTCCAGCTTCCATATGTTCACCCCTATTCAGAAGACAAGGAATCAGTACAAAAGGTAAAATAGGCAAGGAACAAATAGGAAAGAGATTTAAGATCAGTCACTTTTTGACCTAAATTACTAATTGCTTGTAAGAAACCAGAATTTCTATTGTCAACCAACGCACACCAATACAACATCCATAGGCACATAAGAAACAAGGCTTCATCTTTACTAGAACGGATATATACCATTACGCTTCATCTTTAAACATTTTTTTGTCCTTATTTCCAACAAATTGACTCAGTATTAATGTTTCCTTTCGGGTTGCACAGAGAAAAACTAGGTTTGATGAAATGCTGTCATAGGAGTGAAAATAATTATAAAATACAGTTCCCTCCAGAAAATACTTGACCCCCCACAGCCAAAAAAAAGAAGAAGAAGAAGAAGCATCAGACATGGCACCCAGGGGAACTATTTATTTTTCACAAAAACCCAACAACCCATTTGACTCCAATCGCATATTTATCAATACAATCATGTTTAAATGTAACCCATTTCGAAATGTCCCTTGCAATACATATCCAAGTACAGCTAATTCACTAATAAGGATAAAATTTGCCACTGACCAAGTAGAGTATCATCATTAATATAAGAGAGAGATATATTGCAGACCAGAAAAAGCACAAGGTTCAACACAGTAAATGGATATCAACCTCTTGCATGTCAATTGGATAAATGCCATTTGGGTGAATCAAGAGACAAATACGAGAAGATCGGCTTATAATTCAAATGCGTAATAAACTTCCATCATATTTTTCTTTCCCTCTCATATGCAAGTTCCATCATACCTTAAACATAAATTTCAACACTAAAGGATACCATTGTGAATTTGTGACAAGTTACGTATCCATAGAGCATACCATATATTGTACCATAACATGAACAAGGAATTAAACAAATCTACCCCAAAAAGATCTACTGTGTGTGGAAAGAGAATTACCGAATATTCTTGGTCCTTGGAGGGCAACTGTAAGGCACAACAACAGCCTTCCTTTTATTTTTTGTGTTCTCCAGAGGAGGGAAACTAAAAGGCACTGCAACAGTCTTTCCTTTGTCATTCACTTTGCCTAGAGGAGGGCAACTGAAAGGCACTGCAACTGTTCTTCCTTTGTCATTTACTTTGTTTAGAGGAGGGCAACTGAAAGGCACTGCGACCGCCTTTCCTTTGTCGTTCACTTTGTTTAGAGGAGGGCAACTGAAAGGCACTGCAACCGCCTTTCCTTTGTCGTTCACTTTGCCTAGAGGAGGGCAACTGAAAGGCACTGTGACCGCCTTTCCTTTGTCATTCACTTTGCCTAGAGGAGGGCAACTGAAAGGCACTGCGACCGCCTTTCCTTTGTCATTCACTTTGTTTAGAGGAGGGCAAATTAAAGGCTCTGCGACTGCCTTTCCTTTGTCATTCACTTTGCCTAGAGGAGGGCAACTGAAAGGCACTGCAATTGCCTTTCCTTTGTCATTCACTTTGCCTAGAGGAGGGCAAATCAAAGGCACTGCAACCGCCTTTCCTTTGTCATTCACTTTGTTTAGTGGAGGGAAAATTAAAGGCACTGCAACCGCCTTTCCTTTGTCATTCACTTTGTTTAGAGGACGGCAAGTTAAAGGCACAGCAACCACCTTTCCTTTGTCATTCACTTCGCCTATAGGAGGGCAACTGAAAGGCACTGCAACTGCCCTTCCTTTGTCATTCACTTTGTCTAGCGGAGGGCAACTAAAAGGCACTGCAACTGCCTTTCCTTTGTCATTCACTTTGCCCAGAGGAGGGAAACTATAAGGCACTGCAACTGCCTTTCCTTTGTCATCCACTTTTTTTAGAGGTGGGCAACTAAAAGGCACAGAAATTGCCTTCCTTTTCTCTGCAGTTTGTCTTCGCTTATAAACTACAAGAGGCTCAAATATCTCACTGTTTCCATCATCTGCCAAAACAGAATATGAGAGTAGTAATATGTATTAGTCCTCTTCAAAACAGAATATATATACACTAGGGGTTTTAGAAATTACAAACAGATAAGAGTAGTAATATATATTATTCCCCCTTCAAAACAGACAATGTATACGCTAGGGCATTTTAAAATCACATACAGATAAGAGTAGTAATAAATACTAGTTCCCTTCAAAGCAGAAAACGTATACGCTAGGGCTTGAGAAAATTACATACTTCACAGATCAATTGAAAAGTCATCATAAACATTTAACCCCAGCCAGCTTCACTGTTTCCCAATTAACCATTGAACGACATATAGACAAAAATAATAACCATCTATAAGCACTAAAGTGAGCAGAACAGATCCAAAGGCAGGGACGGACCTAAGTGAGGTCCAGTGGGGACACTCGCCCCCACTGAATTTTAAAAATACTTTATTTTTGCCTATAAATTCTTGGGTAATTTCATCTATGCCCCCATAACTTTTATCTTTTGCTCCCATTACTTTTTCTCTTCTCTCGCTCACACCCATGCACATAAACAGTAGCCAAGAACTCCATCCCTAATTTCCCTCTCGACTATCCCTCTTGCATTATCCACGGCTCTCTCTCTGAATTACTAGATAAATAATTTTTATTTTTATTTTTTTCGTTGGCAATCTATCTCTTCATGGAAAAAGTGCAAGTCTCCTAAGGCAATAAGAAAAGTCCTAATTAATTTATGATTTGAGATGAAAAAAGAAAAGAGTATACGAGATTGAGAAATACAAATTCAGCCATGATTGTTGTTGTTGTTGTTGTTGTTTTTTTTTTTTTTTTTTTTTTTTTTTTTTTTTTTTTTTTTTTTCCTGAAAATAACACATGTACACATTTTACCCTTGCGGGGATTTGAACTCGGAACCTTTGGCTTTGAGAGGTAGAGGAGATACCACTTAGCTACTACCCAGTGTTGCAACATTTTTAAATGATGAAACTAGTTGAGGACAATTGTGAATGTATTTTACGAAGATATTATCGTTTAATATTATTTTAGTTGAAATCTTTTTTTACCTTATTATTGTTTAAAGTCCCCCACTAAAACAAATTTTTAGGTTCGTCACTGTCTGAAGAAATCAACAAGTATTATACAATTCAAAACTGAAAACTAAACAAATCAGTTATTATTCCACAATAAACAACAAATTTGAATATCATTACAAAAAAGCAATTGTCAGGGACGTTGAATGAAGAGTACTTAACCACAAACCCCAGTGTTCCCAAACAATTAAGTCGATCAATAAATTCATTGGAAAATTTAAGCTAACAATACATACATATACATAAACATCATAATATAAATATAAATATATATATATATATATATATATATATAGAGAGAGAGAGAGAGAGAGAGAGAGAGATTACCAGGATTGGTAGATGAAGAATGTGGTGACTGAGCGCTAGGAGGGGTTGAAAATTGGGGTTGTGGGATGGTTCTAGGACCGATTGGGGCATTTCTGTTGGTGTTGGATGATCCGACGCTGGTGTCGGATTTGGAGGAATTAGTGGGTGGCTTGTTGGGGGATGAATTGTAGGGTTTGGGATTTGGTTTGGGTTTTGGCTTTGAAATTGGATTAGGGTTTTGGAGTTTGACGACGGAGGAGGTAGAGACATAGCGGAGATCGGTGGAAGGGATGAGGTTAGTTCGATCCGATAAGGGCTTTCTCTTCACTGATTTAATTCTTTCAACTTCCATCGCTTCCCATTTCTTCAGCACATCTGGCTCGATCTCTCTTTGAAGAAACTCCTAGTGAGAGAAACTATACAATTTTAGAGAGAGAAAGTTTAAGAAGTGTGTGGAAGACGCTAGTTCAGAATGGCGGGAGATTGGTGAAACTGAAATTCGAGGAGGGTGAGAGAGACGGCTGCGACGATCTTGCTCGAGAGGTCCGAAGTCTGACTTATGGATCGGTTGGTCAGGAAACGATCACTCCCAGGACCAAACCCTAGAACCCGGATCCGGTGTATTATTATTATTTTTTTAGGAAGTTTGATCCAGTGAATGTACTGTATTTTTCTAATGAAAAGAAATATCCTATATTGTGGTGTTTGATATATATAAATATAGTATTTTTTTTTTTACCTTGTCAAAAAATTCCCACAACAATTTTCAAAAAATATGAACATAAAATAACATAAACATAAACATAAACTTTGATATTTTTCACTATTGAAAGAAGAGTAGAAAAAAAAAAAAATACTATATAATATCAAACACCAACTGATCCATAAGTTGGATTTTGATACAGTTCACAAAATCTGACTTATTATTAAAGGTTTTATGCAATATCATAAGTCAGATTTTGATCCGAGTTCGAACTAAATCTTTGTGTTAGAGGTTTGGAATCATAAGTCGGATTTTGATCCGTTGGGTTAAAAGTTTTGATCAATATTATTATATCGAATATGCAATATCATTAAATTGATAACATAAATTTTGATACGAAGGAGTTGCATTCTTAAATTCCTAACTATTTACATATAATATGGTTGAATGTGTATTGCATTATTGTTATAACTATGTGTTCATATAGCTTGTACACTCAATTTACTTATCCAACAGTTATATGAACACGTATTTATAACAATAATGCAATACACATTCAACCATATTACATGTAAATAGTTAGGAATTTAAGAATGCATTCAGGTGTGTGATTTTGTTTACTTATCCAACATTTTTATGTGTATTGCATTATTGTTATAAATACGTGTTGATATAAATGTTGGATAACCATATTACATGTCCCAAAGGAGGTTGGAGCCTCCATCCAGGTGTGCGATTTTGTTTAACCTTTTAATATGTGTGTGTGTATATATATATATATATATATATATATATAAGTGTTTTATATGGGCATTTTACACATTTTGAAATAATAATATAATAAATTTGGTTTTATTATCCTATTTCTGAAATGGGCTTTACTTAAATTTGTCCTGCAATTTGGGCTTGAGGTGAGTCTGCCATCTGTGAGAGTGAGACGGAACAAAGGGGGTCAAAGAAGTGTGAACATTAGCTGAAAACTACTAGTTCTAAGTTTAATCATGATTTCACTAAAATTAAGTCTAAAACGTTAATAAAAGACATTGTTGGGTTCCACTAAATTGTCACATCCTTCTGTCAGAAGACAAAAACAAACATATCCAGCCAAAATATATATGTGTGTGTGTGTGTGTGTGCAGTCCTTCCATTAAGATTAAAAATTATGGAAAACATTATCTCCGGTTTGCTGCATCGTGTAATTGATTACTTTAACTACATTGAACCACTCTAAGGAAGAAAGAAAAAAATGTCATTGATTAACATATGTCAGGGCCACTGGAAGTTGAAAGATTAGATAAATAGACGTCAGAAAAACGTTAATGGATTCCACTTAAATGAATCACGTGACGGTGACGCATTTCATTCATCATTTCGGTTGGAATGGTAGGCATGAAAAACATTTTTTTTTTTCTTTACTTTCGTGACGGTACTTTAACTGGAGTCGAGAGGTGTTAGACGGAACGTCGCAAAGTCAGAAATTGTCAGTAATTCAAACATAGTGAATCGTTTTACTCTGAACTGCACAGTTCATGAGATTTTTCCATAACAATTGGTCTATTATGTTAATTGGGATTTTCTCGCTAAAAATCCCAATGTCATCTCTCAAATTTTATTTGTTTTACTTGTTTGGCATGTGATTGTTTAATTGTTTGTTAATTTAAGTAAAACTAATAGATAAAAAGATAGGTGATTAAATCATTTCCAGGTAAAATCTTAAACTTTTCATAATTTATTTCGCTGCAGAATGTGAGTTTATGCAGCGAAAGATAATATGAAAAGTTTAAGTTTTTAATAAAAGATTAAAATATGTTATTTTAATTAGTTTTAGTTAATTTAGCAATTAATCAATTAATCACATGCAAAATAAAAGTAAAGTAAAGCAAATAGAGTTTAAGAGATAACACCAAAATTTTTAGCGAGGAAACTCCAATTGGTAGAACAGACCAATTGTTGTGGAAAAAATCTCGTGGACTGTGTAGCCCAAAGTAAATCGATCCACTATGTTTGAAACAAAGTACAATGGACTTTGACTCAATCTCACACCATATCGTTTTACCAAACACCAATAGCTGATAATCTTCTGTCTTTGCAATGTCCCGTCCAACAGCTCTTGACTCCAAGCTTACTCTTGATCTCTGAAGAATGATTGCTGGTAAATTAAACAACACTCATCGAATGCTTTGACCCTTTCAAAGTGTGATTGCTTCACCCCGTTCTTCAAGATTTGAATTTGATATAGAAAAAATAGATCTGCTTCTCTGATCGTAAACTTTGAACACTATCAGGATTTAAACAAACACTCTAAAATCACTATTGTGTTTATGTGTGTGTTCAAGAAATAAAAACAGATTTGAAGATAGGCTTTTAATAAATTAGAAGTTGTAATGCAAAAGTCGTATCAACATATATGTAAATCAAGGTTTATATAGACTTTCAAAGATTTAGATATGCATAGGAAAAGGTAAATTTTGTGCATAAGGCTTTTGAAAAGAAGTCTATACTAAATAGGAAGTTTAGATATAATAGGAAACATAAAATTACCTAAACTGTATTAGACAACTTGAACCGGTAACAAACAATTCTTCGAAGCACAGGATCTTGAACCGCTAGCCAAAGTTACCGGTTCCCAAAGGACAGATTTCTAAAGGAAGGTTTAAAACTTGGAAAAATCCCTATTTTGGTAATTTCGAAAAACATACCATGCATGTAAAGTGTCATAACTGTGAAACAACTTTCTAAAATGTTGTTCATACCTTTTTCGTAAATCTTAGTTTATTAAATTTGAACAACTTTTCAGTAGTCGATCTCAATCTTGATTTGGTAACTTAAAAATTATAATTTGATTGGACTTGTTTTGACACCGAAATTAACCAATTACAAAATATATATCATGTCCAAGTAGGAGAGAAATGTTTGGATAAATTTGGGGGTAAAAAAACATGTATAAAACAAGTCTGTTGTGCTCCGTTCATGAGTTGGCCACCAAATGGTCTTAGAATGGAACATGATCAATGATAACCCTTTTTATCAGATAAGCTTTCTGTCTACGTAAAGAATAAATTGGGCAATGCATACATGATTAATGCAGATCATCTCATGGACAGCATTTCATAGACTTCATTATTGCTTCTACCAAACACGCACACATGTGTGTGTGTGTGTATATTTATGTATGTATGAAAATTGGTTTTTTTTTAAAACGAAAGGTGAGATGACGTCAAGTGGGACCGAATATATTTATTGGTCATTTTTCTTTTGAAGAATCTGATGAAGAAGAAAAAGAAGAATAATCCACCATTGATCTAGACAGAACAGCAGGTAAATCCAAGTAAACATTCTTCTACTCTTCCAATGTGATACCCATGACTCTCTCACACAACTAAGCATTTGAGCTGAAAAGTAAGTATGGTATAGCGATTACCAATTCCACTATTTTATGTGAGAAGAAATTATCAAATAGTTTCAAAATTATTGATAATAAGTTAATTATCAAGTGACACTTAAATAAAATATTAAATAAATATGACACATTTGTTTAAGCGTTAAATAATAATTAACTTGGAACCAATGATCCGGGATATTTTGATCCCTCTAGTATATATTCAAAAAGTGAATGTCTCAAAACTTTTATTACTAATTAATCCCAATAAAACTCATTAATTTACACATACATATATATATATATATATATAAATATATATATAGTTGTGTGGAAATTAATATATAATTGGCCAGTTTGGCAGAGAGAAGTCTAGTATTGGTTCCTAAGACGTGGTTGGGTGGCACATATTTGCTGTTATAAGGTTGGAAAGTCCTTTTCAACTTTCCTTCCCACCACCTTTCTGATTCTTCTTCACTAACCAAGCTTTTGTTTTCTTTAAGGTGCTTCTTTGAAACCCACTCAAAAGATATGGCCAACCAACTTTGCTATTTTTTTTTTCCCTTTGTCGACCATCTATCCCCCACCAAACGACATCACAGCCTCACTTTTCCAATAATCCCTCCTAATTTGGAGTATTAATCAAGATTTATATATACCCAAAAAAAAAAATGATAATAAAAAAGATTATCCATGCTATCAAAAAATCTAAAATACCCTCATATTTTGAGCTTCTTTGAAATGGAGAGCTCATAAAATAAATAAAAAATGAAAGATATATAAAGGTGGCTACAAAGACAATGTTAATTTAAGCCCAAGAAAAATGAAATTAAAAAATAATGGAATGGTATTGATTTTGACAAATTTGTCATTTCACAATAAAGGAATTAAAGCATTTTCTTTCTAAATAAGTAGTTTCATTTTAAAATTGCAGAGATATATATTATATATATAAGCATGTTATAATAGTTCAATTTTCAATTCTCTAACGAGATATATAAAATAATTAAGGAGGTGTAATGAATACCAGCATATAGAGACATTAAAAGAAACAAAGGTGGAGGGACTGACTTTATAAAAGGAAAGAGTTAAATTAATAGTTTCTTTCATTCTTCTTCTTCTTCTGCGTGTTTGATGGTTTGTTGTAGGTGATGATCAAGCAGAAAGGTGAGGAGAGATTTGGAAGATGGATTGCTCAATCTGTAGCGCGATGCCATTCATTCTAAGGCCTCCGAGGAATACGATATGCGGAGCCTGCTACGAGGCAGCCAGAAGCTTAATCACCTTCACTAACAAGCTTGAAGGTGGTGATAATGGAGTCCTCGCTAAATCAACTATTGCCACTACTGTTAATTCTCCATCAATTTCGTCCAAGGCAAGCTCTCTCTTCATTTTTTTTCTTAATTTTTTATTTATTTGTTCGTGTGAAATTGTGGTTTGAATTTTGTTTGGGTTCTGAGTTATATAGAATTCTTTGACTCTTATGTGATGCATGTTTATTTTTCTGTAGTGTTTTTTTTTTTGACTTCTTGAAAATTATTTTCAGAAAAATTGAAACATGACGCATGAGGACCTAACATAATGATTCGTAAATGAATTTTGGACTGAACAACAATTCTGTTGTCCACTCTAAATAAACGTAATGGACTCAATTCCGAATCATCTTCTGAAATTGTATGACTGTCAAAAAGTTAATGATTATTCATCAAAAAATTGTTACAGAGCAAATACTCATAAGGTGTCCAAAATAATCGTCCTAGCTACAATTAAACATCGTTATATATTGGCCTTGTATTTTGTATGCAGGGGTTTGCAAATGCACTAAAATGTTTGAAGGAAATGAAGGAGTTGGAGGAGGAACTGAATGACAAGTTGACTTTCCTGGGTGGTTTTGTTGCTGCTTTTAGAGATCAAATTCACACTGATATTCAAGTCAAGCCTGGCAATAATGGACCCCCTATACCTGCACATAGGGCATTACTGGTCTCTCTCTCTCTTTCCCACACACACACACAAACACAACAATACAAACACAAATGGCAAACCATGTTTAATTAAACGTTTAACATGATATTTATATCTGCAGGCAGCAAGGTCTAATATATTCAAGAACATGCTAGACTCGGATGGATGCAAAGCTCCGCCAAGTTACGACACAATCATAGCACTACCAGAATTGAACTATGAAGAGCTAGAGTCACTCCTGGAGTTCCTCTACAGTGGAAGCTTGCCTAAAGAGAAGGTGGACAAGCATGTCTACTCATTGTCGGTGGCGGCCGATAAGTACGACATACCATTCCTGCACAAGTTCTGCGAGCAACAAATGTTGGGGTCATTAAGCTCCTCCAATGCTCTTGATGTGCTTGAGATTGCAGATGTGTGTTCTAACCAGGCACTGAAAGAGACTGCTCTTAAGTTCATTGTCAAGAACATGGAGGACATTGTTTTCTCGCCTAGGTTCGATGCATTTGCACTCAAGAACCCCCATTTGACTGTACAGATCACTAGGGCATCATTCATGGACATCAAAAATAGAAGAAATGTGGTTTGATTTGATGATCTCCATTCAGATTAAAATCAAGCTTTTTTATTTTTTTATTTTATGTTTCTATTATCCAATCCAAGTAATGCTTATTTATAAGCATATAGTCAAGTATGGGTGACAATTCGTGTTTGTAGGTTATAATCGTGTCTTGTCTAAGATTATTATATTAAACACGTAAATTCAAATCCTACCCAATTTAAAAATTGTGTCAAGAACTCTGAACACTAACCTAACTTGTTTATTAAATGGATAAACGTATTAACCCATTTAATGAGTTCTTTATCAAAACAAGACATTTAATATTTAATCAAATAATAAATTATAGAAAAAATTTGTCATAATTAACACAAATATTCAAAAGAAGAAGAAAATTCATAAGGTGTAGAGAAGGTTTATGTTGAAATGACTTAATTATCTATAATAATTAGGTTTAAACATGTAACATATTACATAAGTCATATTTACAATTATAACATGTTGAGTTAAACGGGTCATAAACGGGTTATACGGGTTGAACCTATCAACCATAACCTGACACGGTTAAGTAAATGGGTTAATCGTGTTGAAGAGGCATAAAATCTCACTAGGCCAAATCCAGCCCGGCCCACCGAAGGAGGTCCAGCAACCTCCCAGTCCATTCTTTCTGATCTGTTCTCACGTAACACCTGTTTTGACCTAGACATCGACCCAAGCCAAGGTTGAACCCGTTGAGGAAGGACTAAGGCCATATTATTTCAGAGTTTAGAAAGGTCCAAGGAATTGTTAAGATAAGAATAGACTTCTATAAATAAAAGAAAGAGCAAAAATGTAAAGGATTCAATTGAAACGAATTTAATTTCTGAATATAGAGAGCAATTTATTGCATCTTCACGTGTCAACCCATTTATGACTCGAACTCGTTTAAGGGTATTTTTATAATTTTTTAAAATTGTTTCAAAATTTTAAATTTAATATTAAATAGTAAGGTTAAATTTATTATTTCATAACTTGGTTAACAGGTCGGATTCGGATATTGGGACAATGTAATCACTTTTTAAAAGTGTAGGGATCTTTTGAAATAGATTGAAATTTTATAATCAAAATTTAAAAATAGTGGGAATTTTATGATTTTAAAACTAAAAAAAAAAAAAAGAAAACAAACAAACAAACAAACCGTCTTCCTCAATTTTGTTTTCTTTTAAATCTCTTTTTGAATGCTGATTATGTAATATACACACATGTACATTATAGTATTATACATGTAACATATGTGTATATATCAAGTACGGATAAATTTAAATGTTTTTATGCATAAAAAACCCCTACATCGAAATTAAATATGTTATTATTGGATGGAGGCCTGATTGAATTGGCTTTTCAAATGCTGCTTTTACTTCTTTGGCATTGAAAACTCTTTTGGGTAGTGTTTGATTAATTTTTAAAAAGAGCTTTTGGGGATTAGGCTTGTACCAAACAAAACTAGCTTAGTGAAATTTATTCTTTGAACTTAAATATGTATGATTTATTCTTTGAACTTAAATATGTAAGTAGAGGTTTAGAATCACAAGAAATTGTAGATGTTGAGAGTGGGATAGTTCTATAGAATAAGGAGAATTTGTTTAGATTGGGAGTAAAGAAATTTTTAGAACATGAGAGATTTATGTAGAGTGTAGGTAAATATCTAGAATGTTTTAGTTAAACAGATTTAGAAGTTAAATTTTAGCTGTTGATTTGTATTACATCCAAACCGTGAATTAGTGACGAGAATACCTGTATAAAGGTTGTAACAAATCAGCTGCAAGAGTATAGAAAATATTAGTTAACCACTACAAGACCTGTGAGAAATATTATATTAGTGTAAGAGGAAGATACTAGTTAAGGATGTTTTTATCACATTAATATTTGATTTTTATTTTTTTCAATTACCAATAATTAATATTAGATGAATGCGTCTGAGGTATCAGTGAACTTGTGCAACCAGGTAGAATTAATTAAAACTCCATTAATCTTAGTTTGAAGTCTCGGTTTGTTACACCAAAACCATTCTCCATTATTTATAGAGTAAAAGTTAAGTGAGGTTTAATTAGCAGGCCAATTGGGTGAGTTTTAGCTGGTATTGAATGGAATGTTACAATTAATAATTCATTACCAATCTACAATATTTTTGAAAAACAAATTCAAAATGACAAGATTTTGATTATTTTTTTCTCATAATGACAAACTTAAATCAAACTTAAATCAAAACATTGTACTTTAAAAAAACAACTTAATTAAAAAATAAGAAAGATTAACCTAATTTAATTTGATGAGGAACAAAAGCAGAGAAAAGAGGACAAACTCTCAAATAACAAATACTAACTACAATCTTTCAGGTTTTTATAATAAACATGATGGGTAAAAAAAAAAAAACTAGAATTTCCAAACAAGAAAAATGGAGAATCAGAGCGTTTGAAGTCCAAGATTCAGTAGAGAAAGGTTCACACCATAGTTTCAATTAAGCCCCAAAACTGAAACAAAAAAAACTTGAGCAGAAATAAAATAAAATAAAAATAATCTATAATCTTGTTTTCATGCTTAGACGAAATATTGTTTCGGATATATATATATATATATATATATATATATATATATATATATATATATTTATCGATTACAGATCAAATAGATAAGCATCTCTCTGTGTGTGTCTAAAATCATCCAAAAAGAATAACTTGAGTGTTTAATAGACCTAATTGAATGCTGCATCTTTCTCTCTCTACCAGACGCGAACAGAAAAATCAATCGTCTATGTGTCACTCGATGGTTTTCTAATACCAGAGGAACAAAAACCAGGTTCAGAATTAGATTAATCACTCTCTTCCAGAATTAGATTAAATTTCTGAAGATTACACTTCAACTATATGAATTATATCACTCTGAAATTTTAATTTCCATCAAACAATGTATGACAATATACAGGAATTTAAAAATACAGACATTTTAAGATTTTGTTGAGTAATTTAAATTGGATACCCATCTTAACCTATTTTATTATTCACTCATTAATTATAATATGTATCCATTTTTTATCTATTAATTATTCATTTATTTAAATTTGATACCCTATATAATTTAATTATAATGAACGAATTTGACGGAGTTAATAAATTTGGGTATAAATTTTCAACTCTAAATTTAATAATGGTTGTACCATTACAGAAGTGGTCGTGCACGGGTGTGATGAGGTTAAATGCATTGGTGTAATAAGGGTAAATAACTAAATATATACTGAATTTATATCCTCTTAAGTATCTTTGACTTGATTGGTAGCCAATGGTTAAAGTAAAGTATTTTTGACTTGATTGGGTGATGAATGATTAAAGTAAAATAAAACGAGTGATAGTTATATATTTTATAAGAAGATAACTTTAACAAAATATAAATAAATAATGATAGAGTAACTGAACATGTGTCTCCAAATAAATTTCGAAACGTGATTTGTTTTTGTCACGTCATTTATGTAAGTATATTCTTAAAAAAAAGTAATTATTTAACTAATTAAAAGACAAATTTACCCTTCATATTCACCCTTATCTTTATTACATAGCTTCACTTTTTCTCTCTACGGCTCAACTATCTTACATTTTCTTCACTTTTTCTCTCTAACAATTTATTCATTTTTCTCTCTTCATTTTCTCTCTAAAATTTTTGCTAGATCTTTTTTTACTTAATTTATCTATATATGACCACTTTCTACTTTTCTAATTTTTGTCCTATGTCTTCCATACGGTCCATACTCTTTTCTCAAAAATTTATCCAATCTCTCTTCGAAAGTATCTCCTCCATTTGGCGACCATCCTCTCAATTCATAAATTTATCTAATATATCAAAACCTTTCAACTTCTCACGATTTTGAATTCTTTTTTTTCTTTTTTCTTTTTTTTTTTTAAGTTAACAGATCACCAATTAATAGACATAGACAAATAGACCCACTTTGATAAAGTTTGGAAATTTGAGTTTATTTGTGCAAGAGAGATGCCACTGATAGAGACGGAGCCATTCACAAGCTTGTGGGGGCAATTGCCCCCACTTAAATTTGTTTTATTAATAATATACGTTGTTAATTTACATTTTTTGATATATATATCTACAAAATTATACTACTATACCTATTAAAATTATTAAAAAATTATACTATTGCTCCCTCTCACACAATTTTTTGACTCCGTCTAGTAGATGGACAAATTTGAAAGTTTTTTAAGAAAGAGATACGAGATTGAAAACAAAGGAATGGTGGTAATGGTGATAACAAATAGATAGAGGAGAGATAGAAATTTCCTAAATCTTAAAGAGAGAAACCAAATAGAGTTTGAGAGAGAGATTGATAAAGAAAGTTGCGAGAATTTAACAGAGAAAATTTTAGATCCAAATTTAGAGAGAAAATGAAGAGAGAAAAAAAAATATAGGTAAAGGGCAAAAATTCGTTATCAAAGTTCCCTTTAGACCTCAAGGATAGAGTTGAATCTTACAGATAATATAAAGGTATGTAATGAAGATAGGTTGAATATTAAAGATAAATTTGTCTTTATATTAGTTAAATAATTACTCTCTTGAAAATGTGCTTATTTAATTGACGTGGCTAAGACGGTTTCAAAATTTATTTAGGGAATCCTCACAAGAATGATAGGTCCATGGTCTGGGCTAAATCCTATTGGGCCAATCCAAACATAACTAAAGTCCAAATCAATTCAACCCTAATCTAACTCATGTTATTATTATTAGTATTACTTTTTAGTATTTTGGGTAACTGCACTATTTGAACTTCGTATATAAGATGGAATTTCTTTCATATTTAATTTCTTGACAGGCATTAACAGAACATATGTAAAGCAAGCTAATTAGCCAAGTAATTGTACAAAAATAACTTTATTTCCATTACATAGGGCAGTTGAAGGTGTTATTTTTATTTTTCATTTTTTATTTTTTTTGAGCTAATATTGTATTTGGAAGCACCATATTAGTGAATTAAATTTAAATTCGAAAGAAATTTAGTTAAAATCGACGACTTTGAATTTAACTAAAAAAATTTTAATTCCAAATCAAAGCTGCCGATTTATTGTGTTTGTTGTATGTAATTAGATGGTTCTTGGACTTTGCTTAATACTCGTCGGTGTGCTAGCTTTGTTTATTACATTAGATGGTTCTTGGAC